AATCGTAGTGTAACATGAATCGTAGTGTAACATGAATCGTAGTGTAAAATTCAATAGAATAAATATTGTCTGTGAGAATTGGTTTTAATATCATAAAAGTATAGAAACATAAACAATACGAATTACTGTCACCCAGAAGTATGTCGAGAAACATACTCAATTGAAGCGTCTCCGGTGTGGAGTTGGCACGAGATATCTGTGCAATCGACGATCGTTAAAATGTGAGCGAGTTGCTCCAGAAGAGACAGACCACACCATTTGCGGTGACAGATACTCTCGCTGTAACATCGAGTAGTTCAATGCGAGCTAGGGATTATAATTACTAAACTCGAGACCAGATATCTGTTGAGAATGCTTTAGTCATTTCTGTCATTGGTTTTCTTACGCGGTTCGTTACTTAAAATGTAAATCTAAGTTTTGTGGCCGAAGCCGCTTGTCATTGTTTTGTAAGTCAATGTTTTTGAGATGGCATTCATTGAAGCTGTCTTCATCCTCTGTTGCGTCACCGAGTGCAATGATTTCGAATAAGCTTCACCTTGCAAAAAGAGACAAACTGAATGTAGAGGTTGCATTGTGCATTGTAGTTTAGAAACCTGAGTCTACATTCGGTATCAAGTACCCACATTACAAGGACTGTCACTACACAACGTGTAGGAGGAAATCATTTATTACACATAGGAATAAAATTTTCCCATTTATTTTCCATACCATGGCAGAAATTCTGTCAAAAAATTGGCAATTTCTGCTGTAGCATTACAATATTATCTCTTTACTTCGTAAATATGTTATGCGGAAACAAAGAGAAAAAGAATTGTGAAGAACCCACACTTAAGCCAATTTAAAATAGTGTACGTCAAGAAAAGTTTCCTCGGCGAGCTATTATGTGAGTTCTTTGTCCTCTAAAATGATACTCAGCTCTTCGTACCAAATATTGACTTTATCCTTTGATTCGAGCTTCACTTTATCCCGAAATTGAGATTCTGTAATCTCCCAAAATTTTAAATCTGAGACATACGTATTTCAATTATTATTTACCAATTACCAATACGTTTTTGTTCAAGTTCAATTAAAATTAATAGAACCACAGCCAACTGACACACTTTGTTTTCTTCTGACACAATAAAACCTGCTTGTGAATTGAGCTTAATGAATTGGGATTGAAATTAAAGTGATAAGCAGCAGTGAAGATGAAAGGATGCAATACAGACCCGTGTAAGAAGTTCGCCTCTCTCCATTCATTGATCTTTGACATAAACGATATTCGTTACTATTTGGGCGACATAAATCTAACTTTCACAATTTCTTTTTCAGTATTTCCATTCTGTTCTCCATAATTAAAATTGTGAGTTTCTTTTGTCTCATTTTATTTTTTGAACTAAGTTACAATAATTTGAGTAAAGGAAGACACAATGTTTGCGAGCATTTAGCACACGCGAAAAGTGTGCGCGTTTCAGAAACAAAGAATTGAAATGTAGGTGGTTTTCTAGGGATGATAGAGGTTTGTTTTGATTGAGTTGACGCATACATTCACACTCACAGACGGACAATACGCTACTGATACTTTGAATAATTTTGAAACAGAGAGACTATGAAAATGATGTTTAGCTTTTAAAAATCCTTTAGTATATTAGTAATATCACGATATACATTATTTAAACAGTAATATGTACGCAGTCACACACGAATATAATACCTAAAATCATGGAATTACAAAAAAATACTATGAATCACAAATTACGTTCTCGTATTGAGTCATACCTAAAACTTTCAAATAAAAACATGTCAGATATCCTTGAATTAAATAGTTTCTAGAAGTAGCGGTTAGTATAGTAATAGTTGTTCGTTTTTACTTCATTTTTTTTGTTTCAAATACATAAGAACGGTGTCCAACACGACTATTGTCAACTGATCCATGCGGATGCCGGATAATGTTTGTTTTTCGCAGCGGTGGCGCCGGTGACGGCAGCGGCGGCGGCGGCGAGCGCGCCACCAAGAGCTCCGTGCGGAAGCCCGTGCCCATCAAGTTCCGCAGCGGGCG